GTAAAAGAGTATAAGACTGAGCTAGGAAACGTATCCTTTGCTGTATGATATAGACTCTTTGATTTGTCAACCATGAATTTTGTAACACTGAAAAAGTTTAATATTTTAAGGTTTCTTTTTTCAAATATATGCTACAATAAAAAATGAAACAAAATATTGAATACCTCATGACACACAACAGTACATTTTACTTATGATATTTGATAACGTAAAGTTGTTATTGATATCAGTATGTACGACAAGTTCTGTATTTTATTTTCCTTGAAATCATATAGTTTTGGGTTGTCCAGAATGTTTGGAGAAAAAATAATTGCAACGGTGAAATCAGATAGGTTTGTAGGAAGTAAGAACAGATGGAAATTTTTAAGCTAAGTTGATTTGATTATCTAACTCGTTTGATTATGTAAAGCATGATCGAAATCGCATATTCCAATGTCTATTTTCTTATTTAAATTGTTCTTTGCAACAATGCAATTATTTGAGTTTAATTTTCTTATTTGACTTTATCTGTTAACTTCGAATATCTTGAAATTGGATGAATAACGTGTGAAAGTAAACATTTCAATAATGAGGATAAGATAAACAAATATTACTAGTTATTATATTATTTTCTTTGCCAACTTTTTCTTCTTTTCTTTATTTGTCGAAAAAAAGGGATCGATACTTCAACTAAAACATATTTTGGTTGCTCATCACATCTGATAATTTATCAAAATTATAATTTGTGTTCATAGCTAAAAGCATATTATAAAAAAACAAAAATTGTAAAACTGAAAGTGTGTAAAACTATTTTCATGTCCAATTCTAAAAGTATCGTCGGGAAAAACTTATATATTAACAGGACAAAACTATGGGCCTTGGGCCCAACATAACAAATTAGCTTGGTCCATGTTACGAAGAACATATATACCTCTTCAATACTTGAGAGTTGCTCCCTCCACCACCACCAACCGCTCCCTGCACCTCCCCATACCTTATTTGCCCTTCTATAAAACGGATGTCAACATTCGTTTTACCTTCAACGGATGTTGACATCCGTAACATCAATTTACATATTTTATATTTTAGTTTATTATTTTTATTTAAAAAGATTTTTAAAAAGTTTTTTTATTTATTATTTAAATAATAATATATAAATTAAAATAATTATTATTATTTTATTAAATAAAATAAAATTAATTTATAAATAATTAAATAATAATTTTTAAATAATATTTATATATTAATTTAAAATATAAAAAATTAAAGGGTTAAATATGTTTTTAGTCCTAAACTATTGGTCGTTTCTGGTTTTCGTCCCTCTTCCAAAGTAAGGTACAATTTGGTCCTCATTCTTTAGAAAAACGTTCGTTTTAGTCCTCAAAATTTTGTTTTTAGTCCTTGTTTTAGTCCTCAAAATGTTCGTTTTTTCGACTAAAACGAACGTTTTTTAAAGATTAAGGACCAAATTGTACCTTACTTTGGAAGATGGACGAAAACCAAAAACGGTCAATAGTTTAGGGACTAAAAACATATTTAACCCAAAATTAAAAAACTAAAAACTAAAAAATAAAAAAAGGCAACGGACGGATGTGGCACATCCGTTTTAATATATTTATAACAAATTTTTTAATTATTATTTAAATAATAATACATAAATTAAAAGTAATAATAATTATTTTATTAAATAAAATAAAATTAATTTATAAAAAATTAAGTAATAATTTTAAAATAATTAAATTATATTTATATATTAATTTAAAACAAAAAAAATAAAAAAACTAAACTAGAAAACAAAAAAAAGCAACGGATGTCGGACGTGGCACATCCGTTTTAATATATTTATAATAAATCTTTTAATTATTATTTAAATAATAATACATAAATTAAAATTAATAATAATTATTTTATTAAATAAAATAAAATTATATTTATAAATAATTAGTAATAATTTAAATAATTAAATAATATTTATATATTAATTTAAAACAAAAAAATAAAAACTAAAAGCTAAAAAACAAAAAAAGGCAACGGATGTCGCCACATCCGTTAACGGATTAGCCACGTCCGTGGAAGAATTTTTTCTTCAACGAGATGTTGACATCCGTTTGAAGAAAAGGGGTGGGGTGTAGGATATTTTAAAATATAAAGGATAGTTGTGGAATTTAAAAATGTGGTGGTGCAGGAAGCAAAGCGGGGTGGGTGTAGGGAGTAACCCTCTCAATACTTTTAGAGGGTTACTCCCTACATCTCTCCACTTTGCTCCTTGCACCACCACATTTTTTTTAAATTCCAAAACTATTCTTTATATTTTAAAATATTCTACACCCCACCTCTTTTCTTCAACATGTCAACGCATTGGTTGAAGAAAAACGGATCCGTTGAGTTTCTTTTTAACTTTTAGTTTTTTAATTTATGTATTTAAATTAATATATAAATATATGTAATTTTTTAAAATTATTACTTAATTATTTATAAATTAATTTTATTTTATTTAATAAAATAATTATTATTAATTAATTTATGTATTATTATTTAAATAATAATTAAAATATTTTTTATAAATATATTAAAACGGATGTGACAACATCTTTTGACTTTTTTTTTTAGTTTTTAGTTTTTTAGTTTTTTAATTTTTTATATTTTGAATTAATATATAAATTTTATTTAATTTTTTTAAAATTATTATTTAATTATTTATAAATTAATTTTATTTATACTAATAAAATTACTTATTATTATTTAATTATATATTATTATTAAATAATAATACATATTTTTATAAATATATATTAAAACGGAGTGGCGATAGTTAGAATTTTTTTTTAATTTTTAGTTTTTTATTTTTTTTATTTAATGATATAAAATATTCTATATTTTAATATCCTCTTATTTATAAATTAATTTTATTTTATTTCATGATCGGATAATTATTATTAATTTTAATTCTAGGTAATATAATAATAATTAAAATATGGTTCATCTATCTACTAAACGGATGATATCGATGTTGAATTGTTTTTTTTAAGTTTTAATTTTTAATTTTTATATTGTTAAAATAAATAAAAATAGTCCAAAAGGTTAAAATGTAGGTAAAGATTTATAAAGGAATTTGATTTTTATAAAATAAGTTTATTATTAATTTATTTATATATTATTATTTAAATAATAAATAAAATACTTTAAAAATCTATTAAACAGATGGTCACATCTGTTGAAGTTTTTTCTTTTAATAAAAATAATAAACTAAATATAAAATATGAAACGGATGTCACGTTAACGGATGTTGACATCCCTTTTATAGAAGGACAAATTAGGTATGATGTGGTGCAGGGAGCGGTTGGTGGTGGTGGAAAGAACAACTCTCATACTTTTATTCAATACTTATATGTTTGGGACGATATCTAAGTGATATAATAATAATGTGAGTTGAGAATTCTTTCCCGTTTTATTTTGAATTAGTAATGTAATTCAAAATAAACTCTTACATAATTTTTTCTATAAAACGTGCTGTTTTCTGTCTTCGTCTTTTTCTCTTCTAGAATGACTCGTGGTAATGGAGCCCCCCTAACACCCAACAACCTTCCCACAAAAAAAAAAAAAGAAGAGAAAAGACAGAGAATGCACCATTAAAGGGAGAATCAGTTAAAGAAAAAAAAAATACACTTATAAAAAGCATCAAGTGAGAGAAAAAAGGAGGTTATGCATTTTCCCAGACACCCATGAAAAAGGCTAAAAAGATAAAGGAAAGGGTGGTTTCTCATCTCTTTCGTGCGCCTACGGAGCCTTTTACTGTGTTTTAAGGTATCAAATATAATATTATAAAAATTGTATCTCAAATATAAGTTTATCCCTTTTGTTCGATGAATTTGGAGGAAATGATTAAATAGATTTGAAAGGATTTGCAAATTTCAAATTCTCTTGGAATTTGAATTCCAAAACAATTCCAAATTCCAAATTCAATTGGAATTGAAAAAGATCAATCAAGCACGAAACAGAGGGAAATGCTTTTCAATTTGCAACGATAAAACAATTCACAGTTGCATATAGGGAAAACATCATCCAATTCAATACAATTTCAAATTGCCTCCAAAACGTAAAAACCCCTAAATATAATAATTAGGGTTTCTAAAAGTTGGAAAAAAAAACGAATATTCAGGATCATTTCAATTTGAAAACAAAACTTAGTCATAGATATAATATGATACCCATAATTAGATTATGTACACAAAACAAATTAATAATTAATAAACAATCAAATTCTCTTGTGTATTATGAACAATTTCAAATATCTATAGAGTGATATTCGAATATGTACATGGATTTATCATTAGGAATAACAACGAAGATAAAAAAATCTCTAATCTTTCAATTGTAGAGTATTATATATATATATATATACACTTTTTCTCTTCCAATAAAAAAAGAAAGGAAACATAAACAATATGTATATACTTTGAGAACCATAACTCTTTTATTTGTGAGATAAAATTAAGTTTGAAGTCCATTTTTTATATATCAAATTAAAATTTATCATATGTCTTTAACTATAAATTTATCTTAATTAAATAATTTTAATAAATTAACTAATAAAATAAAATAGCTTAATACATTTAAAAATTTATTACATATATTCGTATATATGCTCACTTCCTAACTTACCTATCTTTTCTTTGTTTTTATTTTATTTTTTATTTCATCGAAATCAACTATTTCTCTTTCTTAGAATCCTTGTACATGAACAGATTCATTACTATATCATGAATGTGACTAAATACATTAATTAAATCTTTCTAATTGTTTCGCTTTCCGCTAACTTTCCTTATGATAATTAGTTACAATTTTTTTAAATTTTTAATTGATTTTATTTTCGACAATACACTATTCACATTTCGAAGACTTACTCTCTTTTTTCTTTTACACAACTTACCATCTCCTCTAGATAAAAAGATAAATAAAGTTTTAAAATAAGAGAATAATATACATAATTATATAAAATAACAAAAATATCCACGTAGCATAACACTTTCGTGTAGCAGAAGATATTAGAGGGACTAAACTATGATTATATTTAGGGTTGAAAATAAATTAATGGTAATTAGTTGGTAAGCAGCTTCTAGCTTCTGCTGGTCGCTAATGGAGAACAGTACTGTTATGGTCTGAAAAAGTTAGCATTCAAGCCTTTGTGAGACAGAGTTCTTGCAGCTGCAGCTAAGAGAAGAGCACTCAGAAGCAAACCCAAGCACCCGAGCGCAGCGTTGAAGCACCATACAAAACCTCTTGGTCGAGGCTTCTTCAGTGATAGAAACATGAAACAGGGGTATGAATACGTGATCGGCACCAGGGTCATGCTTCCAAGCAGTACTGATAGGGATGGAAGGAATGGGAACGCGACAGATATGAAAAACGTCAATCCCCCGAAAAATAATCGTATGCATGTTCTCGCCAATCCCGAACATTTCTCATTCGTTATGCTCGTCAATCTTATCTCAAGGTTGTCGAAAACCGGCATCGCATAGATTTGGTAGCTGCTCAAACAATGTATTATCACCAGAACGTATATTGCTCCCATAGAGAATTTCGTTATCTGCTTCCTGTGAAGTTGCGGGAACGAATACAACAATCCACCGTCGTTTATCTGAAACATGGAAGTTAATTGATCAGTTAATCAGTCGAATAAAACAACCTGCGTAATCTGGAAATATTGGTCGGTTTCTGGTAGTCTTGCCTGGCTTCCATAGGCCCAGAATCCGGCAATTGCAAGAGGAAAGACGCACATGGAGATCAGAACATATGACATGCTCACTCCTCTGCGCATTGGTTCTTTGGATGTTCTATCGAAATCTGAAGGCAGCGTCCCCTGCAGAACCAAAATCCAAAACACCGCTGTTATAGCTTATGCTGTGCATGGCATGCATTCTTATTGAAGTGTTTTGAGAAATTGGAAAACTTGCCTGTATCTCGAGCAAAACATTATGACCTCTGTAGGCTAGCAAGATGATTCCAATAGCATTGAGAACGTCGCTGATCTTAGCCACCGCAGTGGATTCTTCCGACAGGGTCGAGGTATAAGATACGTTGTTCGGCCTACCCTTCTTAACGGAGAGAACCCAGAAGAGGGTGCAATAAGAGATGGCGGTAACGGCTCCGACGAGAGAAACCATGGCCATGGAGTTGAGGTTTGGCAACTGTGCAATGAGAATGGCGGCACAGGTAAAGACCAAGAACCACTCTGCTCCGGTAAGCGCGTGGGCATTGCAAGTGTTTCCATTATCATTCTCGCAAAGTGTCTTGAATAACAGTTTCAGGGTCCCACCACCGGTGATGATAAGCATGACGCATGTGCCTCCTGAAAGATACATCACTGGGAATAATGCTGCAACTTTCCCTAACCTTTTACCTGCAGAAAATATATTCAAACATAAAAAAGTTAGCCACTTCTTTCTTTTTCTTCACTCGCCCCTTGCATCCCGTGAAACATCTAAAATGAAAATCCACGTGTCTTTAAATAAACATTTGTTGTCTTTTCCAACTGTTGAAAAGCGTGTTAACAAATAATCCTACATTAGATGTTGTTAATTTATTTGTAAATCGAAGATTTTAAATGTATGAAAAAAATTGATGGATACTATACAAAAACAGTTTTTTCTATGATATTGTTTGAACATGAACTTTTGAAAACCAAAAAAAAAAATCTTTTGGGAGGAATAAAAGCTGATAAGATGTATAACTACTTCGTGCTAGTAATAATATATTCGCCATAGCATTTTCCATTAATAATGTTACCACTAACCGATGTTGATGTGTTATATAGTAAAACGAATTAGGCTTTGCGTAGAAAAATCCAAACCGACGATGGGATATGGTGCCAATCATAGTGGAGCCTTTCTATTGAAAAACATTGTAGCGTGAAGGCCTAGCCAATTTAATTGTGGTTGTTGAAGAAGAATGGAAAAGAAATGCAGAAAGCAGGTTTGGAAAAAGAGGTATTCATGTGAAGCTTTGGTGCACGGATTTAAGTTGAATTTGGAGAAGGGAGAAGTTGTGGTTACCGAATGCAGCCATGGCGAGGAAGAGATATCTGCTGTGTCGAATCCCAGGGACGGATTCGTGAAGTTCAACAAGAAGAAATATGCTATAGAGCTGCCAAACGAATGCCACTGTCAAACATACTGTGCCCCACACCCTGCACGTTATATTCATACTGTTTAGTACATCGAAAAATCCATGATATGCAAGACAGACCTAACAACGAAAAACATGAATCATCATATCGTAGGCCCAACCTATGACTTTCGCGTACACTAAGGTTGGTTTCCGATTTTCACAAGTCACACCCTTCGTTTTCATTTTGATAGTGAACGTTTGTTAATTTTCGATATTGGTATGTGTTGTTTTCCTTATACAGCGGACTTAGACTCTGATTGACATGTACGCCTACCAAGGACAAGAAAGTGTTTGTGTTCAAATTGTCTTGTTAAAACTTAGACGTTTTGAATCTTCAACAACTAGAGTAGATGAAATATCCCAATGAAACGTCGATGATTTTAGCACACTCTTGATACAAATGTGTACAACACTACAACAAATAAGAAATGTACTTTAACGTAAGACTTCCAAAAAACCTTGACAGACATGACGGATTCGATGTTTCATTCAGTTTTATAGACAAGTATATATGATCTCAGGACATGATATTAAAAGATAAACAGAGATGGGGTTGAAAAAGGTGGTTAAAGATTCCGATATCTTTTATTAAAAAGTTTGAAAACGGTGGTTGAAGATTGCAAGCGTGACGTACCAACCAAGAGTGGCGAAAGCAACGGGAAGCATGAGAGCCTGGAAGCCGATATTGGAGTTAAGAACATGGAAGGCTGCAGAAAAGGAATTTCCATTTCTTGATTCAGTGATGGGAAGCCATGCGTCTTTGGGGTGTTGTTCCTGTTGGTGGGAAGAGGGTGAAGGATGAGCTTGTGAGGGAGACGAATCAGTCGGTGTGAGTGGATCAATGTGGATCAAGAGAGGAGAGAGTGGGGGTTTCAGAGTGGCATCTGAGTAATTCAGAAGAGCTATTTCTGATCTGAAGTATTGAGCTTCGGCCACTTCTCCCATGTTTCTTCTCAAAGCTTTTTCTACTGGCAATGAGTTATTTGGCTGTGATGTTATGTTATATACCCTCATGATAGCATTAACACCTACCAAAAGCACACTTTCTTAGAAGAAATTGAAGCTTCCTTTGTTTCCAAAGTTCCAAAAGAAGAAAAGAAAACGAAGTTGCTTTTTAACTTTGAAGGAGGAAGCACAAGAAACTGCTAACTCTTTTATAATAACATGGATTTGAGAGTCTCCATACGCGTGGAATCCACTCTAAGCACTGACATCACTGTGCTGATCTCACAACATGACCTTCTCACAAGACCACTTTACGTAATCTTTTTTCTTTCCCATACAGTTTGGAGATGAATTAGAGAATATATAGTAAGAAAAGTGGAAGAAAGTATTTTTTTTTTTCTTATCAAAGAAACATCTCTTTATAGAGTATTGTAGTAACTTGAAATATTAATTTTCAATTCGAATTTGTTATTTAATCTTGTTTTTAAATGGTCAAGAAGATTTTACAATATCAGAGAAGCTCTTCGTATTGATATGTCTCTGGTCGATTGGTGTTTGATTATTTGGAGGTTTAATTGCTTCCTTTGTCCCCAGTTTGGTTGAATTGTGTCAAATTCATCCTCATTTTTAAAAAAGTTTCATTGTCATCCTCACGTGGTGTAAAAGTTTCATTGTCGTCCTCACGTGGTGTAAAAGTGTCAATTGAATCCAAACATAGAAAAAATTTGTGTCAAAGTAGTCATTTTTCCTATATATCTGTGTCTTCCTTTCATACAATCAAGTACAGATATTCATTTTACCTTATCCAATTTAAGGCTTTTCATAGCTCCAGAGAAGTGACATATGAAAGGAAGACACAGAGATATAGGAAAAATGACTACTTTGACACAAATTTTTTCTATGTTTGGATTCAATTGACACTTTTATACCACATGAGGACGACAATGAAACTTTTTTAAAAATGAGGATGAATTTGACATAATTCAACCAAACTAAGGACAAAGGAAGCAATTAAACCATTATTTGGAACTTCGGATCCTTGGTTTTGGATGGAAATAGTTGTAAAAACCATTATCACTAGAGTTATAAGTTTCCTTAGCTCGTTTTAAAAAAAGAGAATCTTTGGTATTAATAGCTAATCTTTTACCGTAACTATCATGTCTATTTATAGAATTGATTGTTGAATCCTAACATTGATCATGGCTTCATCAAAATCTATCAGTATTAAGCTATAGGTAAGCTGTTTTTACGACACGATAACCTTTTCTTTAGCTAAAAATCACAAAAAAAAAAAGTCAAGTTGCTCTACTTTATTTCTTCAAAGATTAAACAGTTATTTTTCAAAAGTTTTGTACAGGTTTTGAATTAAAAGTTTGGTCAATGTAAAATAAGTTGAATTTGAAATCTGAAAAATGTTAGTTTTACTTGGCATTGGAGAAAAAGAAATGAGTGTGAATGAAATGACTTGGATGTATGGTTCAATTTTCCTTGACGAGGAGAAGCTACCAAACGAGTTCCATGTTCAGATTTTTGAATTCCATCTTGGCTGCCATATATAATTAATTAAGCAAACAAATAGAAAGTCATTGGAAACTGAGAGTAGGAAGACTTTCGCGTGACCTACGCATTCCTTTGTTGGTTGCCATGCTCGAGCAATGTTTTTATTTTTATTCGCCTAAGTTGGAACACGAAAAAGAAAAAAAAATATGAAATTTATTTGTTATTTTAACATGTAATGGGACTTGGATACTTATTTCTTGTGAGCGATTTTGTAATTTTAAATCAAAAAAATTTAAGAAAGTTTGTAATTTTTGTAAAAGGATGGTATGAAAGTGTTTATAAGTTTAGAAAGATTATTTCAAAGGATTTGTAGCTTTTGTCAAAAGAAATATACAGTTTTAATTATTTTATTTGTGGGAGAAGATTTGATCTTGATTTTCAAATAACTGAAGTCAACCCTTTTTTTTCGATTTTCTAATAATCAAAACTGAAAGATATACAAAATTTTCAAATTTTTACTATTTTTTAAAATTTTGATTTTAATTCTTCAACATTTAAGGTAAAAGGTGCAAAGTAATTTTCAAAATTTTAAAGATATTTAACTTCAATTTCTAATCGAGTAAACATATGACAAAAAGAACCTTCAAACCAAACCAATTGTAACTACTTCCTTATAAACTTCCCAAAAATAATCTTTTAACGACTAATATAATTTCACAACATATTATATTAAAGTAATAATCATAATATAAATAAATGATTAAAACAAAATAATAGTTTACAAGTTGTGGTTTGAAAATAAAAGAAAAATGATGTCAAGGAATTATTATTCTAAACTCAATAAATTATTTGATAAATATAAATTAATATAAAAATTATATAATTGTACGTGTTTTATCTTGTAGATAAAGTTTTTATTCTCAAAAAGGAATATAATAATTTAATTTTCTTAAAATAATTAAATTCTAATAATTTTTCATTTTTTAAAATTGCGCAGTAGTTTTTTTTATTTGAAAAAGTAACTTTATTTAAATAAGTTGACTTGATCGTTACATTGAGTTTTTTAGAATTCGTATTGTGTAATTTTGATATGGTATTATATAGTTGAAATCTATCACCACATTATAAGATGTTAAACATTTTTTACGCTTTGAATAACTTTCAAGTCTTTTATAATTTAAGTATTTTAAATTAAGTTATTCACATTTTTTATTAAATATTCAAAAAAATTATAATTTTAAATTGAGTTTTTACTATTTAATTTTTCTGTTAATTTGATGCTGTGACTGTTTTTTTATCTTATCATCTTATTTATTTTCACATGTGAAAATCATGAAGTCATATATATTAATATGAAAGAATATTATAATTATTGTAAGAAGATGAATGATTTTTATTGTTTTAAGTAAAAGTATATATAATAACAAACACGTCTCAATGATAAAAAGAATCCCTCAATAGTTGTGATTTAAGTTTTATCATAAAAAAAAAATTAAAAAATAACTTATTTGTGAAGATTCAGTTGGTTGTCAATAGAAACCAACTTATAATATTAAATAAGGTGCTTTCATTTGAAATAAATAAAATAATAAGTTTGGTAAAAGGTAAATTAGCAGAACATGATGTATTTATTAGGATAACAAATTAATATATGTATTGAGCATTTTGTTTAACATTGTTTAACTTCATCAAACCCTATTTTGGTTTATTGATGTAGCTATTATGAGTGTAGGAATGTTCATTCTAATTTGACCACTTATCTCCTTTCTGTTATAAAACCTAACAAGTACTTAAATTAAACCACTTAATCATGTGCTTTACATCATTAAGGATCTTAATTATGTAGTAGTTGTAATAATTAATCTAATTTGATTGGACGAAAGATAATAAAAAATGGCCGCTGAGAGAAGCTTCTTTGATATTTTTAATGACGGTATAAAATTAATTAATTAATTAATCAATCCATCAATCATATACAGCATTAGAGTGACTAAAATGTGAGTATACAATTGTTCCAACAAACTCATTTTCTCTGTCGTGGTCACTTTTTGAACCTTATTTGATGTTTGATTTAGATTTTTGTTTTTTTCTACACTAAGAAAAAATCTCATATTGGTTGGTGAGGTGTTTGGTCTCGTGCATGACTAGTCTTGCTTTCATCTTTTCAGCCAATTGCTAAACCAAACTTTTCAATTGTATGTTAGGTGTACGGTCAATGTCAACTGATTCAGTTTTGTTGTGTTGTTTAAGGTTTAATTGTTGTTTAGTAAATGGTCTCTTATGCATTTAAATTGGTTGAGTTACAGTGATGAATGTACTGTTATGATAAAATCAATTCAATTTTTAACAAATAGCAATTAATATAAATCTACATAACTTATTTTCTTACCTCAAACCTTTATAAGTTTTGTAATGAATTTTTAGTTGATGTTGGTCTAATTATCACCAAATTATGAGTGATTATACTTTAATATTAAGTTGATCAATTTTAAAGTTAATTTACTTTAGTACAATTTATTTTGATCGGTTCAATTCAAGATCAATAATCACTTGGTTGATGATCATTTAGACTTAGTAGTAGTCGATCAAGATTAGTGATTTGCTCTTCGAATTAAAAATTCATCGTATGAACTAATAAGTGACTGATTAAATTTACTAACTTGCTCCTGAAAGTTCGTCATCCAAACTAGACTGATTAAATTTACTAACTTGCTCCTGAAAGTTCGTCATCCAAACTAATAAATGACTTACGTGTTTAATAACTTATCATTGTTTTTCAAAATAAAAATTCACAATCTAAATTATAATTGAGTGTCTGAATTATAATTAACCTAATGGTTACCCAAAACAAGTTATATTAATATTTAATTATTATAATATTTGTTATAGCTAATGAATTCAAGAACGGTCATAAGATAAAGATACATTTCTCCAAAAAAAGTGGACACTCACTCTATTCCATTTGTGGTTAGTGGGAAACAGTGACAAGATAATGCATAAAGATCATGCAAAATGGATAAAAAAGAGAGTATATATAAATACAAGTAGATAATATTTTATATGTTAAATTTTTAACATGTTAATTACGTAACTATTTAATTAAGTTAAAAATAAATTATTATTTTTAGAATATATTTTAAACTAATATGAAATTAATGGAAAAGAACTCTAACTGGAAGTCATGTTATACGGAAGGAATAACTATTCATTAATTTTAAAGCAAAATTAAAAGAAGGAAAGTCGTATTTAAGTATTAAAATTAACTTCACAATAAATAACAAACTTTTACTATGTACAATTTCTTAAATACATGATCATGAATTTCAATCAATCTACACATAAGCTATGATAAAAATATAATATTTGAAAATGTTATTTTCGATCACTTGACTTTATTAATGAAATGTTTTTAATATTCTTTTTTTTACGTACAATTCATTCAATGTTTTCAAAGTTAGGTAAAATCATCTCAAATTGTTCTTTTTGTTTTATCTATTTTTACTCATATATTTTCATTTTTTTAATTGTCGATGTCTTCCACTTTTTTTTTTTCTTTTTACCTCCATCTATAGATTAGATTCCAATAATTGTCTTTACAATAATTCTCAATAAAGCCTCTAAGGAACCAAAAGGCTATGATTTGGTCGTTTAATTTTAATTTAA